TAAAAAATATTTAAATAAGATCTTATGTGTAAAACACTTCAATGTGCCTTTTTTATATTTTTTTCTTTTTTAGGCCAACTCTCACGTGTTGGCGGAAAGTTAGCAAAATATGTTAAGGACTTATTTCAGAGGTAACTTGTATTTCTTCATTTATATTTTTATCTGTTTTATGTAAATTCAGAACATTGCAGGCATTATGAATAAATGCAAAGATTTTGTTGATTATTATTTTAATATTACTTTAAATGAGTATACATATTGCATGTGAATACTTATATAACACATTAGCAAACTAATACAAATGGCTATAAAAATGAAATCAATAGAACATTTTGAAGTATTTTTATTATAAAAGTTCATTTCTTGAAAGTTAAAAAATGCTAATTTGAATTATGAAAATTGTCAAAATTTTTATAAAATTTTTGTATTTATAATACTATAAAGTATCCATGTCAAAAGTATTTAAAATATTATTAACAATATATGAATAAATTGTTATAAGTAACTATATATATATATATATATATATATATATATATATATATATATATATATATATATATATATATATATATATATATATATATATATATATATATATATATATATATATATATATATTACACATGTATATATATATATATATATATATATATATATATATATATATATATATATATATATATATACATATATATAAGTTTATATATTTGTGCATACAGATAAACAAATATAAATGTATGATGATATCAAGATCAATTATATTGTGAAAGGCTAATTGTTTGATAAACAGTTTATTAGAAAATGATAATTATTGAAGTTTAATCAGTGATTTTTTCTTTAAGCCTATTCCAATAGTTTTATATTTTTGAAAGTGATTTTTTGTTATATTTTACTAAACTCTCTATAAAAGTGCTCATTTAGTAAACCCCTTTAATATTTGTCCTGATTTTTAATTTTTGACCTTGTTCAACGGCCAGTTAAACATTTAGTTGCACATTTTTCATTATATAATTTGCTTGTTTGAATGCAGCAACATGGGCATAGGAAATAAATGTTACTAAAACACCTAATCATGTGAATACTGAAAAATTATTGTAATTGCATTTATCTTGGTTTTCACATCTAGCCATTGATATTAAAAGTATGCTCCATAATGATCACATGTGTATTAACCAATGATATTTTATATAAACTAGTTGTCTTACTTCAATTCAAAAAGTGAAGCCGCTTTTGTCCTTTTTACAAATGACAGATTAAATTTGTAAACAAATACTATTTTTTTATATATGAAGTAAATATATTTTTATATATGTAATATATTTTAAATCTATATATGTAATCTATATATGTAAAAGTGTTGAGAGGAAATTAGAGTACTTGTAAAGTAATAATTTATGATTTCTAAATTTATTTTCGGTTAAAAAGGGATTAAAATTTAAAATAGAAATAAACCTTAAATAAACTTTGATAAGTACTTTATATTTATTATAACATGTTTTTGAATTATCTTTAATTTATTGGTTAATTTTGACTCGCATTTTGAACTTTTATTCCTCACATTTGCTTCAGCTTTAACACTTTTTACAAATGGCAAATTATATTTTTAAGCAAAAAAAGCGACATCATTTTTTGTTCAATAAAGGACCGCAAGTTTGACATCTAGTTTATATAATATATCATCCAGTTTATATTATATAGTTTGTTTTGGTGTTGTCCATTATTGATATTTTGAAAAAACGGAGCCAGAGGTATGTGATTTGTCATATGTTCAAATTAATCATATTTCTGAAAAGTCTCATGACTTTTAACAAAATCAGATGGTAAAAAACCATCTGATTTTGTTAAAAACAGAAAGTCTAGATCACAGGTGGAGTTTTAAAAAATAAAAGGCTATACAGTTAATTTCTTTTGTATACTGGTCTCTATGCACTGAAGATACAAATTAAATTAGCAGAATCAATGCATTGGTTATGCATTGATGCTATTAAATTGGTTTGGATGACTGGATTATTAAGGCTGTGGATTATTATGGTCCAACATTCATAACATACAATTTACATAACCTTATTCATTTTTTATAGTTTTCTGAATGATTGCTTCTTGATATGTCTGCCTTTTTATTTCAAAAATTATTGGCTTTTGGTAAGAAGATGCCACTTGCTCAAATGGTCAAGGGTTTAAGTGAAATATAAGTAGTTCGGATTGGAAGAAAAAACACCTAACAAAGTAATCATTAGTCTTAAAGAGAGCTATTTATAAAAACAATGTTTGATTCTTTGCTTAGTGAAAATGTCCCATTTCAGTTTCTTTATTTACCATGCAATTCATGTTATAAAAAAATATATTGCCAAAATAACACTTGTAAAAAAATAACTTTCCAGAAATCTGAACTCAAAGATATTTTATATCTTTTGAGGGTAAAACTAGACATATTTTTTTTCCATTACTTCATGATTGTGTGTTTTAAATTAATTTTGTTTATTTATTCAATTAAAATTATTTTGAAGACAATTTCATTAGTTTTGCATTTTATTGAGGTATTGTTTATTCTATTTCAGATAATGTTGCTAAACGATTTACAGTCGATAATCTTTCGAAAGCAGAAAAACTCAGGTTAGCATCAAATAGAATTTCTGGTATTTGTAGTATTTCTCTTTGTTTATTCCGAATGTTTTTTATTTAGTTCTTAAAAATGCTTTTAATTGGATTTGTTTGTAACTTTATGTTTCTTCATATATATTTGTCTTTTAGTGTCAAAGAATATGCGAATTATTTGAGATATGATTGAAATTTGCAAAGAAAGTAAAAATCAAACTAGTTTCATTCTAAGTTATTGTATATAATTTTAAAATTTTGGAATAGAAGTGATGCAATGTTTATTTATTTTAAGTCTTTTAACTTCCGTATTCAATTATTTGCCCGGACTAGTATAATAATCGTGTATGACCTAAATAAATAAGAAGAAATATAGCTTGACAGCGCAAAGTTATACAGTGTTAAAATCGTCCTTTATTGTTTTTTGCAGTGTAGAAATAACATCAAAAATGATAGAAAAACGTTAGAAGGCGTTTTTCTTACAACGTTTCGCAACATTGGTAATATAACGTTGACCTATGTTTCATATATGCCATTATTCCAACGTGTGAAAATCGATAGAAAAGACGTTGGCTCAACGTCATTTTAGCTAAAATATAACGTTAGCCTAACGTCCTTATAACGTCTTTTTTATTCAAATTTAACGTTGCTCTAACGTCTTTCCGACGTTATTTAGCTTAAATGTAACGTTGTCACCACGTCATTTTACATCGTTGTAATAACGTTAGTAAAATGACGTTTTTTCGGTGTTTCATTTATAACATCATGCCAACGTCTTTCCAACGATACGAAAGACGTTAGAACAACGTTGTTCCGACGTCATTTTTCTTATTGGGTTAATTATAGTCTACTCGCATGTTTAATTAAAAAAGGTAAAGATCATCGAATTTAAAGGGAATTTAAAAAAAATAAGATTTATTACTATTGGTTTTTAAATTTAAAATTAAACTAACGCAGTACTTACGTTGACTTTTGAAGGATATGCGCACCGTAGTGTATACACATATTGACTACACATTGCTTATCTAGGGATAGGCACACTGTAGTATAAATACAATGACGAGGATTTTGGCTAGGGCTCTTTTAATTAAAAAAAGAAGTTCTTCTAAATGTTTATTTTACCTATTGGCACGTTTTTTTTTATTTTTTAAAGTAGTATATCGCCATAATCCTCTCTGAAAAATCACAAAACTATGTTTACATCATTGGTATCAAAAAACTCTATTTACGGCATTTTTAGCTACCTTACATAAAAATATCAAACTTTAAATAATCTCAATTCTGTCTGACATTGAACTGCACTGAGGTGATTACTATATTATGAAGTCTCATCTAATACAGATAGAGCATCTAGCCTGGACTAACTAATTATTTTCCCTTTATTTTTATATCCTATAACTAAAAAGTTGTAGGATATAGAAATAAAGGAAATAAAGAATATTTCGACAACTTAAAATTAAGATTTTCTGGCATGAACGCATAAGCCCTGTCAATTTTTGTCCATTGATTTATTCATAAACTATTTATTTTTATTTTTTATTTTTAATTCACTTCTTTTTTTATGGTTTTATTTTTAATATCTCTTGTTACTACGGTAAGAAAATGATTTTGGGAGGTGTGCTTAACTTAAAATAACAATTTAACTAGCGACGCAAATGTACGTCATCCATTTATTTGTAAATATACTGCGTACGCTGAGTTAAAAGCGCTTAATGTTTAAAATTAAACAAGATTTAAAGGTCGTGCAAAAAAAATTTATATATTGTAAAAAAATAAAAAATAAGAATTTTAGTTCATTTTAATTAGCATCCTTATCAATACTTATGTTCTCTTGAATTTCTCACTGCACTTTATATATCATCTTGCTAAAGTATACGTTAAAAAAAAAAAGACAAGAATAGTGTGCGCTTATTTTTAGTGAAACCGTAGCAAAATGTTTAGAAATGTATGCTTGCAATGTTTAGCTGATTTTTGGGAAAAGATCTTATAAGGTTCAAATTGTTTTCGAAACTTTTTGATATGAATTGAGTATTTTTTTTAAACATAAGTATATAACTAAAGCATATTTGTTTATAGTTATATATTTTTAATTATGGTTTTAATTATTTGTGTATAGCTATATTATTTTTAATATATTTTTTAAATGTTTTATTTACTTGAAGTAACCTAATATAGCAGTTATATAGCATTTTACTTTTTAAATCATAATAATAATATATTTATAAACAAATAACTAGAATATTTCTATAAAGATTATAAAATTATAACTATAAATAAATACATAAGTATATGGAGATGACAATCCATATTTTTTTGTATATTTCATGTTCCGTTTTTAGTAATATTTTAAAAAGTAAACTTATTTTAGCATGCAATTAACTTAATTTACTTTTTTCATTTATATAAAAATAAAGAATTTTAGTGTAGAAATATGAAAATTATAAATTGATGAAAATGACTGAAAATGGATTGCATAATAGTATCTCAGTGCACAAAGAAGAATCATTAGTACATAGCAGCGAGTTTGATCATCCAGTCTACAAAAAAATATCTGCAGCTAATGGGCGCATTAATAAAATGACTAATATTGAACTTTTAGAAGCATTAACTTATTTGAAATTGGGAACAAAGTTAGTTATACATTGTTTATTTATTTTTTTTGTTCGTTGTATTGTAATGTTTGAAAAATATCTAAGACATTTAGACCTAATAAAAATATTGTACTTTTTTGTCATTAAAAAATTAAGTTTGAAGTATCTGTGGACCAGTATAAAAAAAAACAGTATTAAATACAGTTTTATTAAGTCATTTTATGGTATTAAGTTGTTTGTGACACTTTATGTCAAAACTAAATAATGTTAAAAAAATAATCTCATTTTTATTTAAACTTTATTGAGAACTTGTTATTTCTAAATCAAGTTATATATTTAAATAAGTTATTTTCAAGGTTGACAATTACTAAAAAATATAAAATATATAAAACTTAATAAAACATGTAAAACATTTTGTCCAATACATCCCCAAACTATAACTGTAAAATATTTTCATAGAATTTAAAAAACCGTATTCAAAATAATATTCAACAGTAAATATTAAATTTTATTGTTATTATTGTGAAAAGTTTAGTTTTAAATTTTTGTTAAAAATATAAAACAGAAATAAATATTAAAAACAGAAATAAATATTAAAAACAGAAATAAGTATTAAAAACAGAAATATTAAAAACAGAAGTAAATATTAAAAATAGAGATAAATATTAAAAACAGAAATTAATATTAAAACATAAATAAATATTAAAAACAGAAATAAATATTAAAAACAGAAATAAATATTAAAAACAGAAATAAATATTAAAAACAGAAATAAATATTAAAAACAGAAATGAATATTAAAAACAGGAATAAATATTAAAAACAGAAATAAATATTAAAAACAGGAATAAATATAATAAATATTAAAAAAATATTATTTTAAAGTTTATAATAAGTACCGAATTTTATTTTTAGTTTTAAATGTTATAATAATAGTTAATTTGGTTGTGGTGTAGTATTTGAGAACTGGTTTTGTATAATGATGTACAATATACAGTTAATTCCGGGTAAGTCAAACACTAGTTAACTTGAACTTTTGTTTATCTCGAACTGTTTCATTTGGTCCCTAGAAATTGTCTAACTGATTGCTATTAAAATTCTCAGTTAAGTTGAACATCGGATAACTCAAACTTCGTTAAGTCGAACCATTTTATTGTCCCCTTTCGGTAAATTTCTTTGGATATCTTGAACTTTTTGTATGGAAAATAATGAAATCAAAATAACTTGATTAAAATTTTTTTTTTAGAAGTCATTCCATATAAAACATAAAATACTTTAAGGAAGACATTGTATTGCATTTTTTTGCTTAACTTTTTTAAATATTATCTTTTAAGTGTACAGCGTGAATACTTGCTTTTTAAACTCAAAATTTGTAACATGGTGAAACTGAGTGAAAGTTGAATACAAAAATTGTTAAAGTCAAGTACAACACATTGAAGGAAGTATTAGATGGCATCTCAAAGTCAAAGGTCGCTTTAAAATATAATATACCAAAGAACACTTTATCTACCTGGTTGAGAAAGAAAGAAAAGATTTCTGATGCTGTGGAGAAAAAAAACAACCTGAAACGTCAGCGTATGAGGAAAGGGTCATTTGCAAATTTAGATCAAGCCATTTTCAAATAACTTCTGATTGTTCGTAGCAGAGATGTCACTGTCTCTGCTTAAATTCTCAAAACTAAAGCCCTGTAATTTGCTGATAGAATGAACGTTACAAATTTTCATGCTTCAAATGGTTGGTTAGTGTACTAATGCGTGTACAAGTGAAATGGTAGCATCATGGGAGGAAACCTTATTACCAACGATTTTATCAAAGCATAAGTTGAACCAGATTTATAATGCTAACAAATTTGGCTTGTTTTATTGGCTCCAACCAAATAAATCTTTACATTTTAAAAATGAAAAATGTGTCGGTAAGAAACACAGCTAACTACGTCTTACAGGATTGGCATCCGCTAATGCATTAAGGAAAAAATTGCCAATGTTTGTTATCGGCAAAGCTAAATCGCCCAGATGCTTTAAAATTGTAAAGCATTTGCCCTGCAATTATCGCAGTCAGAAGAAAAGTTGGATGGATGGCCTTCTCTTCGTGAAATTAATCGGCAATTTACAAAGGAAGGACTAAAAATTGTTTTATTAGTAGATAATTGTCCAGCTCATCCAATCATTGATAATCTCGTATCAATAGAACTAATCTTTTTACCACCAAACAATACCTCGAAGCTCTAGCCGATGGACCAGGGCAAGATTAGGTCACTTAAAGCCTATTATAGAACACTATCTGTTCAAAAATTAATAGATAAAAATAGATAAAAAAAAGCTTCTCCTGGAATTTACTATAATAGATGCCATGCAAATGCTTGATGTTGCTTGGGGGAAGGTGAAGATCAAAATTATTTGCAATTTTTTTGCCAAAGCTGGAATTTCAGAGAAAATGTGTTTTGACGCCTCGATAGATGTGGATGATCCCTTGGATCTGAAAGACCGTCAGAAAAGCTTGCTGTTCATACATCCAAGTTCTTCCCTAAAAGAACAACAGCAAAAGATGTTGTGTCCATGGATGAATTTGTCAATACTGCCGAGCCAATAATGAATGAAGAGGAGAGATTATATCAGACGTTTTAGGAGAAGCAAATTTTGAGACTGAAAACGATGAAAATAATTATGTAGATTTTTTGATCAAACCAACTTGCCCTCAATCGGGTGATGTACAACAAGCCCTGGAAGTACTACGAAGCTACATGATATTCAGTGACAATGGGGAGTACATTCATAAATGTATAAACCAAATAAACTTAATTATGGAAAAAGAAATTATTATTAGAGAAGCTAATACAAGTGGATATACGTACCTTTTTTCACTAAACTTTTTTCACACTTTTTATTACTATAATAGTGTATACTTAATATTTATACTTTTTTTGTTGTTGTTGCTGTTATTTAGATGCCCCAAGAAGACCTAAAGGTCTTATCACAGAGCAACGCGGAAGTGCATTAAACCAGGAAGTTCACGGCTCCTTCCTTACTGTGACGCAAAAATATGTTCAGAGCTTTCAACAGTTTCGAACCTGGATCTCCTGCTTATAAAGCAAGCACTGTAACCACTGCGCCACGGCTGCACATACTTCAGCATTGAATAAATAAAAATCACCTTAAATCGAACTAATATCTTGTTTCTGTCAAAGTTTGACTTAACGGGATTTCGCTTAAGTCAAACATTTGTTAAGTCAAACCATTTTCCTTGGTCCCTTGGAGGTTCGACTTATCGGGAATTAACTGTATAAAGAGTTGAATTATAAAGTTATAGGGTTGAGTGATAGTTGTAAGAACAACATGGCTTCACTTTTTTTTTTAAAAAGTGTAGCCTGATTTGTCAGTTGTCAGATTTTGTGCTATAAAGGTTATCAGATAAAAGATGCTAGCAATATCCTCTTCATGTTTTATAATTGTCAATTTGATTACTGTTTCTGCTGTCTTACTTGCCATCTTGTTTAATATCAGAACAATTTCATGAGTTTCTCTAACAGCTGATATGTGTTAACACAACAGTTTATATTTTCAGGATACTGCCTCTTTGACTTTCTCTGTAACTAAGATATCTTCTTTCTCTATCAATTTCTGAAGGTATATGTAGTCTTACTGCTTCATTGGATTTATCAACAAACAAAATATATTTTTCTGACTCTGAAAGCCTATCAAAATATCTTGGCCAGTCATATTCATATGTGGGCAAAGTGTGCCTAAAATATGGCTTTACTCCATACAAGACATGGTGTTATCAGTGCTGTCTAGTTGTCAACAATTCCTGTCAACACAATTGTTCCAGTTAACATGTAGTGCATCTGCTATGTATTTTTTAAGTAACATTCCTTTTTAGTTTTTAAACTCTGTTTAGCTGGAACACATGGTTTGGTGTTTTATGATAAGATCTGGTATAGTTACTAACTGGTCTACGTATGAGTTACATTAACTTGGAAAACTTACTAACTGGCACAAATGACTTTAATTTAGAATGAAATTCTGAACGAATTCTCTGAAATTCCCTTTAGGGGTTGTCCATAAAGAACATCACTATTTTTTAGACAATTTTTGATCCCCCTTACCCCTCCTTTATCACCAGTTGACCTTTTTTCTTATAATTCCTTTAAAAGGATATCATAAAATTGGGACCCCCTCCTCCCTGTATTTTTAAAATATAATTCGTTCATAATTTAAGCATTTTTATTGAAATTTTTTGCATGAATTACACTTTTCTGTGTTTGAATATCATTCAGTAGTGCATAATAATTAATGAATTTAAAACTTATACTTGTGATTTTTTAAAATATTTTGAAGTTAATGTCTGGTAACACTTAATCCTGTTTACTTTAAATTTAAAGTAAATTTTGATGCAGATTTTCTAGGAAGATCACTTTGATTGTTTATAGCGCGGATTTTTTTTTGGATGGTTTTTGAAATTGTTTTGGATTTTTTATTTTTTTTTCCAATTGTTTTGAAATATTAGACACTGTTGCCACACTTAAAAAAAAACACATAAATACATGCTTTTTAATAATTGCTGCATAATTCTTTTGGATAATCATTTGTAATATATATAACAATTGCTACACAAACAATTTCCTTCAGACAAATATTTGTAATACTCTTTTTAAAAAATCATTAATGATTTTATAAAAATTACAAATGATTTTCAAGACTATATCCTTGAGGACAAATTTTGCACAAAGTGTTTGCACATTGATTTAATAAAAAGCCATAGCGCTTATCATTTGATATTTGAGATAGGAGAAACTACCAACAGTTTAACAGTATATAATTAATTGTAATATATTCAATATATATATATATATATATATATATATATATATATATATATATATATATATATATATATATATATATATATAATTTAAACAAATATCAACACAAATTTTTTTTCTTCAATTATGATAAATAAAAACATTATGTTCCCATAATGTTAACTTCATAAAAATATACATAGTTTACATAGTTTTCAATGTAATTAAATCTAAAACAAAA